ACAGTCAAAAGTCAAAAAAATTGGTCAACATCTTATTTTGAAGCCACAATAATCATTTGATCAAGTCTTGATCATGATTCCACAAGCATGGCTCAAAAATCATCAAGGATGCAAAAGTTTCTATTTTTGGACAATAGGAAAGTCAACTGTAACTTGACCAAGGCATAACTTTTTCATGGTTCATCATAAAAATCCCATCCAATGCTCATTTTGAAGGGGATGACATTTCCTACAACTCATCTTCACATTCCAAGTCCTATAAATTCTCTCACAAGAAGTTATCAATTTCTACATTATAGGTCAATTTCAAAAGTCAACAAAAAGGCATTTTAAGTCAAAGACCATAACTTGAGATTGGTAAATCCAAATGACATGGGACCAAAGGCATTGGTTAGAGTACTTCAAGACCTTTCCAAAATGTCCAAGAACATGTTCATATAATCACAATTGAGCAAGATATGCATTGGAGAAGTTGGGAAATTTTTGTGAATTTGCAAAAGTCAACTTTGCTCAAAACACCGTGTTTTTGCTAATGGGCCTCAAATTCCTTCTTGAAACTTTGTACAAGGCTTATGCACGACCCATTGAGATTAAATTGAATTATTTTCTTATTTTTATTAATTAATTGGATTTTTAATTGATTATTAATTCATTTAATTCATTTAATTGTAGGAAAATACCAAGATATGATTTCTAAATCTTTTTGTGAAGCAAAAGTGGTCAACATGTGCTGAAGATTTCGTGTATCAATCAAGGGGACAAAATCTCCCAATTTGGCAAGGTTTTTCAATCAAAAAGATGCAAAAATATTTGATTGAAAATCAAATATACAAATCATAATGCCATGGATTTTTGGACCAAGATTTACCCTAATTCAGTTCTACTATAAGTGCATAAGCTAAACCTAATTCCACACACGTGAGAACTGCTGCTCAAAAGCCATAAGAACATTAAAAAATATCAAAGAAACTTGAAAACTGAATTCTACTTTCCACGCCAATTCAAAGCCTCTTCTTGATTCCAATACATTGCTAGGCCTCCCAGGAACGATTTGCAATCAAAACCAAGCTTCATAGCTCAAGAAATTGTGGCAAACAGTTTTACGGTTTGAAGCTTTTTTCCATAATTGTATATATCGATTCATGCATATTTAACATATTCTTGTGTTTGTTTTGTGCTAATAGGACTCATACGAAGCTGTTGGTGTGATTTAATTGCATTAAAATGCCCTGAAACAGAAACTGCCATTGAAGGATTCTAGGGTTTCCAAGCTCTCGAATTAGGGCTTTATAGCATAGGGAAAATTAGGCCTCAAGAGACCTATGGTTGAAACCATTTGGACATGACGAACACAATGGACATATCACGCCATATTTATATAACCCAGGGACCTATTCACTATTTTCCCTCGTCCTATTTTGTGGGGGTTAAAAACCCCCGCTATCCATTCGTTTTTTTACAGGCGCAAGGAAGAAGACAGTGACGTGGGGATGCCTGGTTGGTTCATTCAAAAAAATGCGCGCGTGTATAACATATGTGTTTGTTTTTTATATTATTTTCATTATCCATTATATTATCAAATACAGGCATATGGCGTAGTGGAAAGTGATGTGGCTATTAACCATTGGGACCTGGGTTCGATTCCCAGGTCCCCCAAAATAATTGTTTGATCCTTTTCATCATATATCCACATGCAGGCTACTGAGTGTTGTCCACCATATGCCCCACTTATCCATGCGCCGGGTGGCTGGCAAGGCAGATCCAAAAGCCAAAAGATGATGAATATCATGATCCTCAGTCAACCATACGCATAGCTGATTCCAGAAGTCAAACAAAGGCTTAAGCTTAATGGGCCAAATTGCTTCTTCACACCTCCATATTGGGCCATCAACCCCCCCTGGTTTACTATTCCTTTTCTTATTTTCTTTTCCTTTTTTAATTCCTTTTAATAATTATTATTACTATTATTTAATTAATTCCTAAATTATTTTTCACAATAAAATTCAGAAAACCTAAAAAATATTTTTTATTAATTTCAATTACTTTTTGTAAATAAATGTAAATTAATTAATTTAGTTAAATTAGGTTAACTTTAATCTTTTTTCATAATAAATAAAACAAATTTAGAATTAGGTTTTTTCATTTGACTTTTAATTTCCTTTTATTTTTATTTTCATTAAGACTTAAAAAAAACATAAAAACATTTTTTCTTTTAATTAATTAATTAATTAGGTTTAGGTTTAATATTTAATTAATTGCAAAAAGGACAAAATTCAATTCTTTTCTCAAAAAGGGTCAAAACCCTAAGGATGTTCCCGATTTAATTCTTTCGCGCGCATATTTATTTTAATTCATTATTTATTTGATTATATTTATGTAACTGTTTCCGAGGATGTAATAGTTAATTAGGCTTTTATCGCTTTATTTACTTTTCTCGCATTTATTTTCCAAACGGGTTTTGTTTTTGGCGATGTATAGACCCGCGCCTTGTAATAGCGTAGATTTACCTTTCCGCAATTTATTTTCCGCACTATTAACTGTTAATATGCATGAAATACTTGTATGACAAATAAAATCAATCCGTAGCTCACAAATGCATGTTCAAAGATAAACATTAACTGAAAAACAACACACATGCACATGCCACTCCTAGGGTACGCCTCACTGGTTGCCTCGAGGTGGTCGTCAAGTATAGGGTGTTTTAGAGGTCTCCCTCCTGTCTAAAGATCCAGTTGCCTCGAAACGGTTGCCTCGGATAAAAAGGATCTAGGATATTAGGGTTACCGCTAAGGCGTCCTACTATTGCTTTGGTGACCACACATGTCCCTAATAATCGAATTGACCCGAATAACTCCAACGATGGTGCTACCTACTTCTCAATAGTGGGATAGTACTGTCTAAAGGACTCTTACACAACCCAATTCCTTAGAGTAGGTAGATTTCTCCTGGGTACTTGCTCTTTCAAAAAACAAACAAAAACAACTTTTCGCACCTACACTTTCAAAAGGTTTTCAAACAAATATTTCATACACTCTTGAGGACAGATACAAGAGTTACCTAGAAATTTTTCAAACGAAACTTTTTTCAAAACCCACAAACACTTGAAAAGAAAACAATTTTTGAAAACATAAGAGCAAGTACCTAAGAGCCCGTGGATAACCGCGGATAGAAAGGGTGCTAACACCTTCCCTTTCTATAAATCTACCTCCCGAACCGAGAAACATTCTCGAAAAGGAATTTTGCTGTGCTTTTGTCCTTTCCATGTTGGAGAACATAAAAGACGGTGGCGACTCTTGCTTACCGCGACATTTCGCGAACCAGCTTAAAAAACAGTCAGTTCTATTTCCACCGATCACAGTGCATAATTGGCACACACAAGCTATCATGATTGTAGTGAAGTGTTTTTGGATTTTGTCCCATATTTCATATGACTCTTTTCATGTGAAAAAGACACCATATCACTGTTTTTGAATCTATTGAGAGAAAACATTTAAACAGAGCCCAATCTTGGATAATCTGGGTCTTATGCTCCTCTTATAAACTCTATAGTATTTTATAAAGAAAATAATGTGGGACTTTTAACTTGTATGCAACAACTTATAAGAGTTTATCGTTAAACTATGACGTGCTTTCGATTGTTTGAATAAACTAAAAAAGAAACATGGTTTGCATATTTTTGATTCTCACGCGTTATAGTTAACATTAAGATCTTAATATCATCAAGGACCAAGGAAAAACTAAACATAACAAAGAAAATTGTTGTAGAGAGGAGCAAGAAGCAATCTATATTCATGGTGGTAGACTAGTCGCATCATGACAAAACAATCAAAATGGATGGAGAAAAACCTTCAAGGTCCATTACTTTAATTATAATTTCTTCATTTTCTTTTTCTTCTATTTTAAAATTGCATGTTCATTTAAAATGGATGAAGCAAAACCTTCGAGATTCATTACCTTAGATATGATGTGGCAACATATAGATATACTCAATAGGTTTAATTGTTTTGTATACAAAATGCAAATATGGAGGAAAAGGTACATAATACTATAAAACTCGTAGAGGAAGATGGAGGCTCGTTTGCAAAGAGAGCTAAAATGTAATACAAAAAGAGACCGAAGGTGATAAGCTTTGTCGAAGAAAAAATACTGATAAAAAACACAAGTGTGAATTTTCCCCCTGCAAGGCAGGGAGATTCAGATTCCTTAGCAGGTTTATAATACGATATGATGGCCAGGACTTTCCCACAACAACGAGAATCCATGTACGGTGGTGTTTTGATATAGTTTAGGAGTCTTACTCACGTGAGGTGAGAGGCTCTATAGATGAACGGTGACACTTGAAGCAAGTGTATAGTTATGTTTAATTGTGGTGTTGTGACCTTAGTAAGCATTATGCTCTTTTAGTGTGTAAAGAATGATCTTCCTTCCTTTGGGGAAAAAAATATTTATAGAGACTCTTTGTACTGAAGGTTTGAGTCATCCTCAGTGACGTCAACTACTCCCCTATTATTAGGAGATATTATTGACCACATGTGTTTTAGGAGTTAGTGGATACTCTCTATTGTGACTTACACGTCATGGATTCCTCAGGGAGGATCTCCAAGTTATAGCATGGGCGAAACGATTCTTGGACGATGGTGCTCTAGTTTAGGACTTCCATAAATATAACACTTCATAGTCCCTCAAACACGAGGGTTTTTCTAAGGGATAAGTGTTTTTAAACTCCTTTTTACTTGAAGTGTTACCCTCACCATATCAGTGATTTCCCTAGTCGAGGGCGAGCACACTCACGAGACGAGTCCCTCAACTGAAAGCATCTCTCCATGTAAAGGATGAGTCCTTCAACTAAGGGTGAGTCCCTCAATTGAAGGTGAGTACCTTAGCTAAGGTGAGTCCTTCAACTGAAGGCATTTATTAAAAGTTTCTATTTCTATTGAGCATGGGAAAAAACTAAACTCATTCATGTTCAAGATATCACGTCCTTGTATTCCACTGAGGAAATGATTGATAAATTTCATCATGACATTAGATTTTCCAGCACGGATCGAGAGAGGGATGTGATCATGGAAGTGTGTTTGAAGCATGGGAGGGAGAATATGGATACTTTCGATGATCCACATGCTAATTATTTTTACATCCATCTTCATATCATCTATGAGCCGAGAGTTTTGATTCCCTTTACCACTTTTGAGACAAATTTTTTGACTACTGCTAATGTCACCCCTTCTCAGGTTACCCTGAATTTATGGGGCATACTTAGAGCTTTCCAGATATTCTGGTGTAGTTTGGGTGTATCTTCCTTCGTCGAAGTGTTTCTCTATTTCTTCAAGACGAAACTTCTTCCCACTAATGGTTGGGTAACATTGCGCCATTTCCTGGTGGATGACTACTAAAACCCTTCGCCAACCCTTATGAGGAGTGGTAAGACAAGTTTGTGCGGATAAGAGGGAAGGACAGTGGTTCTCCCGTTATCACAGGGGAAAGGGAAAACCTCTTTTTTCCTTTATCTTGGTCTTCTGATCCAAGACTTAATGAAAGGATGGACCCACATGCCTTTTCCCCCCTCGAGCGCGAAGTGATTCGGGTTTTGAGGTGTTTCTGCTCTATGGAGTTTGGCATCCATATTAACCAGGATCATGAAGATGATGATGGAATAAAGGCATATTTAAGTATGAAATAACACTTTATGACCTAGCTTTGTTTGTTGATGTGTTTTAATGATGATTGTTATCTGCAAGGAAGATGGTGAGGGTCCCCCTATTGATGAGAAAAGGGAGCGTCTGGTAAAGATGCAGGCGGTCTAGCAGTGAGTGATGCTTTCCCTTTCCCAAGACATGGCTTTCTCTAGGGATAAGATGTAATGAGAAACTTCACGGGCGGCCGAGGTTTGTCCTCCCAAGGTTCCTAGAAGGGGGGAGGATCCTTCTGAACCTTACTTATGGAATAAACAAGCTTTTGATGTAGTGGAATTTGCTAATCGCTTTTTCCTCTTCTCTGAGAACTTCCTTGGTGACTATCAGTTGCTTTCTAATATGTCCCCCGCCCAATTGTAAGCTCTCCTGGAGACCTAACTTGTGATGTACTTTTTAGTGGAGAAAGTAATAAGGTAGAAATATTCTCACACCCTTAGAGGGCACTAGTCTGTGGTGATTAATGTAAACAAGGTCACTCACGAAGGCAGGGTGGAAATGAAGCAAATGAGTGAGATGCATGATGTGTTGAAGGCACTTGCCTAAGGGGTCACGACTCAGGTCCTCGCTCACCTTGAAGAAGTTAAGGGTTTGAAGAAATCACTTAAGGATGAAGTTGTGATGGTCTATGTCCATCATTTTGAGAAGGAGAGAAAGCAGGTTGTCCTTCTTTATCCTAATTTGGACTTGAGCTCCATGGATCCTTTTTAGGTGATTCGAAATGGAAAACTGGTGGATGAAGAATAGTGATTGTTTCTACCCCTTTTTTGGTTGTATTTCTTTTTCCCATTCATGGAATTTTGTAATTGTTTTGGAAATCAGTGTCCACTGGGGAAGCCTTTTATATTGAATGCTTTTACCATCATCTGCTTGTTTTTAACCTCTTCTTGAGCGACAAGATTCATGAGCGAGGGCTCCCTAGTTTAGAACTTTTGCAAATATAACAATACAGAAACATACAAGGCTTACCGAGATTTAGGCGAACGATATGATCACATATCAATAGAGTTGCAGAATGCCACATCAGTCACAAAGAAAGATAATCCAAGAAAGACTATAATACCGTCGGTTTTTTCTAAAGTTCCTAAATCAGGATTAAGTGTAAAAGACACACTTAAATCATGTCAAGAAACATCAAAATAATTAGAAGTGAAACATGAAATATCAGTTGATATACATCTCATGTAAAGTGGTGGAAAAGGAAGATGTTTCGGACACATGTTGAATCAAGTTGAGTCTCACATGATTTTATTACAAATAAATATAATGTTTATAAAGATGAAACATGCATGTGCTAATGAATTGAAAATATGCTATTAGAAAATGGGCCTAAAAGCTCATAAGTTTTTTATCTTACCGGTCGACCAGAATTTGAAGCGGGCCAATAGATGACGTCTTCAAGGATGGAATTAGTGAGGAGGAAGGGTGTACCTACAAGGCACTCTGACGCTCAAGTAAGAAAGAGTGTAAAGAGATACAAGAAAGATATTAGGGTTTTTTAGAGTGAATATTAGATACACGATCCTCACAAGTGTGAGAGTTTATATAATTCCCCCGGCTCTTGCCCATTGGTTCCTATTTTTGGGCTAGATATCAGATTCCTCAAAAATAGGTAATTGCCAGGAATTGGTCATGACAGGTGTCATACCCCAAATTTTCCCTACCTCAACGATCTTTTTTTAAAATTATTTAATTAAAGATGGTACAACAATATCTGATGGACTATCTTTATTCAAGATCAAGGGGATGTTTTTTAAATCAAGAAGATTTAGTTGTTATTTAAAAAGGAGGGGTGAAAATTAAATCCGAGAGTATGCAAAAGAAAGGGGAAGAATTAACGTTAGGCCCAATTGAATTAAAGGAGAAGTTCTGACTGCAAACGAAGAAGTGCTAGGCTGTATGGATCAAGCACTGACCCATCAAAACTTATGAAGCAAATCCCAGAAGTTCTTCTTTACAGAAACAAGAAAAAATGATGCAGATTAGAGCCAGAATCATGCACAAGCTAGTACTGGTACATAATTGGAATATCAGATCTTCTAGCAGAGTCAAATTGTAAGCAAGGGAAGAATCAGATTGTAAACAAATAGGGATCTTCTGTAAGCCAATCCAGATTTTTTATAAGAAGATTGGGTCTTTTGGAAATAACACATAGTCAGAGATTTCCAAAACTTCTGAGCATATACAGAGCTAATAATCCAAATCAAACTTTCATCCAAGTTCATGCAGAAATCCTACTTTGCAAGTCCAGAGTTTCTGAAACGTATGCAGAGTTACAATAGAATAAAATCAAATCTTTTTGCAACGTTCCAGAATTTTCCACAGCCCAAGCTCAGAGTTTCATAGGCTAAGCAAACCAAGCCCAAATCTGTTGGACGTGCACTGTATCAATTTCAATCAAATCTTCCACGGAGAATCAATTCCAATCAAATCTTTTTAATTCTATCCTTAATCTTTGCTCTAGAAATAGTCCAAGCCCAAAAATTGAACATTATAAATAGAGGAACAAATTAGCAAACGATGAGGAGAAGAAAAAAAAAGAGGAAAGAATACGGGGAGAGAGACGAATTTGCCGAAAAGCTTGCAAAACAAGAAAAATGCAGTAGGAGCAAGAACAGGAAGAACATAAGAGTTTCTGGAAAACCCAGAAAAAGAACACGCAGAAGAGTAATTGAGTTTCCAATATCTAGAACCCTAGTTTCAATCACCGTCGCTCCACCTTCCGTCGTTGCTGTCACCAGAATCTGCAGAAGAAGAAGGAAAGGACAACAAAATACGCACCAGAATCAGAAGCAAAAGCGCCAAAGGGGTAACAAATTTTATTGTTTCTTTACTGTTTTCATGCGAGGTTTAAGATGAATAGGGTCGGAAGAACATAGGCAAGGCTGAAACTATAGGAAACAGATTTGTAGATAGTTTTATGTTCTGATTGCACAGGTACACACTAATTTCTTACGTTCAGATGTAGTTCCCCTTTTAGAAGTTCTAACTGGGCTTAACCCAGGTTTCTGATTTTTTTCCTTGTCCAGAAGTAGCATTAGACTTATATACTTTCTGTCTTCCCTTTTCCAGAAATTCTGTGTAGTGGGCTTAGCCCAGAATTTGACACCCATATGTTTTGATTTTCACTTAGTAACCAGCAATGCACCCCCTGTTCATAAATTATTTTTCCTTTATTTTTCTATTTATCTGTTTTGTAATTATTATATTATTATTATTATATCGTTTAAATTATTTTCGTATTAAAAATTACATATTATTTTCCTATATTATTTGCATTAAATATTTGTTATATATCATACATTAATAAGAATTTTTGCAATTAATATCTATAAAAAACACTCAACAAATCTCAAACTATTTTTTTCACAATCAAATAATCTAAACAACTTTTTTGCAAAGGGTTTCAAGCAGATTTTGACTTACTGCGCATTTAGTCAATATCTCTGCAATCACTACTCTCGGCCAAAATGCGAGGTGATTCAAAGTACGTTTGCAACCCATATGAACTACGAATTGAGACTCTGATTCCTCATAAGAGGATACATAGGCATACGATCAAAAATCATAGCGAGTTCCCCTATTAAAAATTAAAACCCTTTCCCCTATTAAAAATTTAAACCCTTTCTCCTATTAAAAATTAAAACTCTTTTCCCTTAATAATATTTAAAATCCTGTTTCCCCAACTCAAACCTAAAACCTAGTATCCTTGTGAACAAGGTAGATGAAAGGTGCCTAACATCTTTCTTTCGTCTAATAGAGTCTGAAACCTAGAATCTCTGTCTACGAATTAGGGTTTTATGTTAGATTCTCTTCCCTAGGATAAAAACTAATAGTGACGACTCTTGATTTAAAAACCAGTCGCAACAACGGGCAGAGATGCTCGGAACTAGCCGTTATGACTAGCAGAGAGGTGCTCACGGGCAAAGATGATTCTGGCCATTCCTGGGTGGTTGTCATCATGCGGCTGACAGAATGAGGACTAGCCTGTTTAAGTGGGAAGATGTGGTCTTGTTGATCCTAGGGGTCAACCGACCACGGCTCCTTAGGTGGGGGCAGAGGCGTTGTCACAGGCAAGCGTGTTATGTTAGTTCTTGGATGTCTGTTCCGCACGTGGTGAGCATAATGAGAAGTAGCTGCTGATGCAGGCAGAGGTGCAGTTGAGGCAGCGATGGTCTTGTTGGTCCTGGGGGACAACCGACCACGTGTCCCTGACTGAGGGGCAGAAGGGAAAATGTGTCTTTTACCTGTCCCAATTGATTGGGCAAAAGATATTGGACCATCTTAGATGTAGAAATGGATTAGGCCATGCCTAGGCATCGAGCCAGGCCAGAACATGAGTCCCCTAAGTCGTTGCTTCTAGGCTTAGAAGTGATGACTTAGAGTCAACTCATGCACCGAGGAGGAAAGCACGTTGTTGGCGCTTGTTGCTCGCGACAGAGACGTTTCGTGATTTTACGAGGACATGCTCGTACGTGATATATTATTATTTATTAGATTTATGCATGTTTATATGCTCGTCCTCTTGGGACTTTTATTTTACCACTTTTGCTAAGTGTTTAAACATTGCTCGTTATGAATGCTGCTCTTTAAATAATTTTTTATAAGTGTTTGGGGTTTGCTCGATAATATCGGAGTTCGACGGTGAGGGGAACTAGTCGAACGATCAGGGTTGCTTCCGAGGCAAGGGGAGAAACTCAGGCCCCGTTTGTGACTTGAGTTCAATTAATTGATTTCTTAAAAATTAAATTAAAATTATTAATTATTAATTAATTTAATCTGTAAAAAATATTAAACTTATATATATTGTTTAAAAATATTTTGATTAACTACTTTCTAAATTAATTTTTGTATAAATTTAAATTTAATTTTGACTTTTCTTAAATAAAATATTTAGAATATTATTAAAAATATTAGTTAATAAATTTTTATCCTAATCATTATTTCCACTTTATTAAACATAAATAATTTATTCTTATCATCAATGGCAGTATGTAAAAGTTGACGAGACACAAAAAATTTCAAAAATAAAATAAAATTGAGAGAAAAAACTAAATTATACAATAGGAGATAAAAAAAATCTAAAATAAAAAAATTAAACTACAAAATTAATATATTGTGAATTTGTTGAACCAATCTTAACAATAAAATACACGTATTTAAAATTAAATCATGATAAGCACAATTATTTTTTCAATTATGTTAAAAATATATAATTGTTTACTAAAAAAAATATTCACTTTAGTTATTACTATTATAAATAAAAATATTATTTTTTAATTTATTAAATAATTAATATATTAGATTTATATACATTTCACATATATGAGCTATTTAATAAGTTTTAAAATAACTTTTTTCTCGTAATAGTAACAATAAAAATATTCTAGTATTTACACATTCAATTTAATTTTTATTTAAAAAAATAATTAATATTAATAACAAAACAATCACTCGATTACACACATATTTGTCTATTTTAACCGCAAAATAAAATTAGTTTTTTCTTTTTACTGAAATCGAGTGTAAACTTGTGTGGAGAAATTTATATAAATTATTTATCTGTTAAAAGAATATGCATGTAAACTATCAATAATCAATAATTTATTTATTTATCTATTAAAAGAATATACATGTAAATTATTAATAATATTTTTCAGTTTAATTTTTTTTATATTTATAAAAGATTAAAATAGTAAAAATCTAATCTCCCAATTAATTCACTTACTTCATCTAAATGGTATCAAGTCTCAAATTTTTATTTAATACCTTTTTAATTTTTATTTTTTTCTTTCACTTCTCGCTCTTTTATTCATCATCTCATTCTTCTTTCTCTTTTTTATTTTATTGTTTTTATCTTTTTTATCTAATTATTTTATCTTCTTCTAATTATTTGTAATGTATTTAAAATATATTATATTTTAGTATATGATTATCATATTAAATATTTATTGGTATTTAAAAGTATACAATATTGACATTTAATTTTGTTTCTACAATACATTTAATTAATTTTATTTATTTATTATTATTAAAAATGTTAATTTATTTATTTTTAAATTTTAATAAAATTAAAAATTTGTTTTATAAAATTAGATAATACTTAATAGCTATTACACAATTAACTTTTCACTTTATAGATCACTATTTAAAAATATCTATTATATTTTAATTAATAACTTTCATAATTAAATATATTAAATTTTTATTTTTAATTGTCAAAATTTCTCTTTTTTCATAAATTACTATCAACAAAATATTTATTTTATTTTAATTAATAATTATTTATATTTGAAACAAATTTTTTATTATTAAATAGTAAAATTTATTTTTTTATACGAATCACTACCAATAAAATATTTTTTAAATTTTAATTAATAATTATTTTTATTTTATTTAAAACAAAATTTTTATTTTCATAAGTAATAAAAAATTCTCACAGACGAGATACATTTTTTATTTTAATTAATTATTATCTTCATTTAAGATAAAAAATTTAATTTTAAATATTAAAATTATTTTTTTCTCCAGAGTCATTATTAATAAAATATTTAGTTTGTTTTAATTAATAAGTGCTCTTATTTAAAACATAAAATTTTATATTCAAATATTAAAATATCTTTTTTTTCTATTTCACGAATATTTTTTTTATAATTATTTAATATATATATATATATATATATATATATATATATATATATATATATATATATATATATATATATATATATATATATATATATATATATATATATATATTCACCTCGTAATGCACATTCATTTCGTTTCACATCACAAGAACGTGACACGTGTACCAGACAAGACAGCTTAGAGCCGTCACATGCCCTAAAAACCACAAGAAATTCCACGTGTCATGATTTCAACTCAGTTTTCTCTTATCGATAACCTAACAAAATTAGTAACATCTCTCTCTCTCTATAACATTGAGTTTCACTTACAGTGGTGTGGACCAAACCTCATTGCTTTGCTGTCTTTTAACGTGGTTTTGTCTATTTAAACTTTAAACTAATAAAAAAATTGTCTTTTTCAGTTGGCCTAATCCTGAACTAAAAAAAAATCAAATCTTTCTTCATTTTTCAATCCCCACTTTTCATCATCCACTATAGAGCAAGCAACCAAACCCTTTAATCCAACTCTCTTTTTCATGTTGATTTTATGGTTTAACAGATCTACTGGTATCACATGATCTTAACTTTCCTCTTGTTTCCAGATCATTCTTTTATTCAACTGCATCATCATTCAATTCAAGCCTAAATTTTCTGTAAGATTTTTCTCTTAATTTTCTCCCCTTTTTTTTTTATTCACATTTTTGTCCTTTATGGAAATTAGCATGAGTAAAGGTTTCATTTTCCAATGTCATAGGAGGCATTTTTTAGTTTGCCTTATCCTTTGACAATCTAGAATCAATAAGTTTTACCTTATTTAGGGGATGCACTTGGTCATAGAAGCTATTTTTATTCATCACTTGCAAAACCATGACTGGTAGTTTGTTTTCTATGAACTTTGTAGCTTGTTGCTCGTTTGCCTGCTATATCTGGATATCCTTTGTTATATATAATTTTACTTATATATGATAGATATATTTATGCTATTGTGTTTTGCAGTGGATTCATCATTGGGGTGGGTGTTGTGGTTGATGAACTATTTGACAGCGTGTTTTCGGCCAGGTTTGGATCGATATACACGCCGTGGTTCAGATGCTGGTGGTAAAAAGGAGGGACTCTTGTGGTACAAAGATTCAGGGAAGCATTTGAATGGTGAGTTTTCAATGGCTGTGGTTCAAGCCAACAACTTATTGGAGGATCAGAGCTATATTGAATCCGGTAGTTTGAGTTCGAGTGGTTCTGGACCGTACGGTACGTTTGTTGGTGTTTATGACGGCCATGGAGGGCCGGAGACATCGAGGTTTATCAATGATCACCTAGTTTGTCATCTCAAAAGTAAGTGATATCAAGATGATGAACTTGAAAAGCTTTTTTCTTTCTTCATCGAATAGATTGTACTTGTTTCCGTATACCGTCCAATCACAGTAATTGTGGTTTTCGATTAGGGGTAGCAAAACGGGCCCGACCTGAAGGATATGTCAGTTTTACCCACACTTTTTTGTGGGGCGGGCTAATATCTTAGACCCGCGCCCCTTAATATACCTGCTCCACCCGCCTATTTTTTTTGGGCTTTTGCAGGCGCGGGCATTAGCATAAAATTTTCTATTTTTAGGCTTAAAAGATGCAATGTTCGCAAGCCCGCCCTGTCCTCACTTTTTGCGGGGCGGGTAAGGCTTTAGGCTCGCACGCTCACTTTTTGCGGGGCGGGTATGGTTTTAGACTCGCACCCTTAATTATACCCGTTCCGTCATACCTCATTTTTTTACGGGCTTTTGTCGGGCGTGAATGCCCATTTGCCACCCCTATTTTCGATACAAGATAGTTTGTATGTCTCTCACTTAAAGATTTTGGTATTATTTGAATTGACTTATTTGAGCTCATCTAATTGACATTTAAACTTGTGAGGTTGTTTGGAAGAGCTAACATGCTCATAAATTTTGTAGCACCAACACCTCTGAACAAAGATGTGTCTGGTGTCTGACGTGTGTTAGTGTCCAACAATGACAAATGATTGTGTTCAATTTATATATTTTTTAAATATTATCGGTGTTGACGTGTCAATGTCGGTATCAAGCATTTGTGTATGTGTCGGTGCTTTATAGTTCATAAGTTGTTGCAACTTATTATCATAAGCTCTACAGTGTTGGCTAATACAGTTTGACTTTCTTTTCGTCTTTTGTTATAGGAATATCTTCTGCATAATCACCTATATGTTAAGTTTCCGTGCTTTAAGTGCTTAATTAAGCGGTTTATTCAAAAAGAGCCTTGGCGGTGTTTCATATTGCAGTTCTTTGCACGATTATCAATAAAAAGTAATTATGCTTATTAAATTTCAGGGTTTACTGCAGAGCAACAATCAATGTCGGTGGATGTAATTCGCAAGGCAATCCAAGCAACGGAAGATGGATTTATGTCTCTTGTTACCAAACAGTGGTCCATGAAACCGCAAATTGCATCGGTTGGATCCTGCTGTCTTGTCGGTGTAATTTGTAATGGAACTCTTTATATAGCAAATCTCGGTGATTCCCGCGCTGTTTTGGGAAGAGCAGTCAAAGCAACCGGGGAGGTTTTAGCCGTGCAATTGTCAACCGAACACAATGCAGCTATAGAATCAATAAGACATGAACTGCGATCTGTGCACCCTGGCGATTCAAATATCGTTGTTTTGAGGCATAATGTATGGCGCGTCAAGGGCCTAATACAAGTAAGGACGTTTGGATTGAACCTTCTTCATTTTTACGGCTTATGTTATCTTACATGTTTTTTAAATTTACAGATATCTAGATCTATTGGCGATGTATATCTGAAAAAGGCCGAGTTCAATAGAGAACCTCTATATCCAAAGTTTCGGCTTCGTGAGCCGTTCAAGATGCCAATATTGAGCTCAGAACCATCGATATCAGTTCACCAGTTGCAGCCACACGATCAATTTATTATATTTGCATCTGACGGGCTCTGGGAGCATCTTAGCAATCAAGAAGCAGTTGACATAGTTCAAAATAATCCTCGCTCGGTGAGATACAAAACACTATCATTTTACCATGTATTATTAAGAGTTAACTGAAAACATAGAAATACAAATTGACGCGGCCTATCGTGTAATTTTTCAGGGAATTGCAAGGAGGCTAGTGAAAGCTGCACTTCAAGAAGCGGCGAAAAAGAGAGAAATGAGATATTCAGACTTAAAAGATATTGATCGTGGGGTCCGTAGGCATTTCCACGATGATATCACCGTGATTGTCGTGTTCATCGACTCAAATCTCATGAGTAGTGCAAGCAATGTTAAGTTCCCTACTATTTCCGTTCGAGGGGGCGGTATGAACTTGCATCCTAACTAACACATAAGCACCTTGTAAAACGCCAACAGAAGCTGGTGCTAGCTGATATATATAAGTTTTTATCATTAATTTTTACTTTGTTGTATCATTTTCTTGTGTGAATAGTGAATACCAGGTATCTTCAAATAGCGAAGCACTTCGGCTCAAACTGCAAGTTTTTAGAATACTAATACTCATGTTTAGGTTCTTTCTTTCAAACACAAATTGTAACAAAAGCAGAGGTATTCTGATAACCATTATGAGATTTTCCTTTTCTTTTGGTGACTTGGTATTAGAAGCTGCATATAAATTATAGAGTATCTTCATGTATATTGTTGTCTCTATTTTTACGTTTAAATAATAGTATGATACAAATGTTATTAAAAAGGTAAGATTTAGGACTATGAAGTGGTTGACTTGCCATGGAAGCAAATTCTGTATGGAAAATCAGGAAGATAACGAATATAAACAATTGCATTTTTATAGAATATATATATATATATATATATATATATATATATATATATATATATATATATATATATATATATATTCTGATTTCTTTGTAGAACGCTCTTTCCTTTCCTCTAGGATTTAGGCCGCGATTTTGTTCTCTCATTTATGCATATGAGTTTTTCCCAATAACAATATTTATCAACAATACAACGTCTAATAACATGTAACAACATTCAACAATATAAAATATTTCAAGAACGCATATTTTATTGAAACTAATCGTAGAATTGAAATCAATTTTGAAGTTCATCTAATTTATGATTTTATGAAAAAGAAATACAAGGTGGATGAAATTTACAGTGTTACTTCATACTTCTTGTATTTTTTTATAGCAACACAAACAATATGTATCATAGACAAAGTATGCGCTTTGTTAGGGTGATTTTCTTCAATCATTTTCCCTATAAGTCAAAAATAAACACAATGACATTAACATCATTACATGGAACATTTACTAAATGAAAAAATGAGAACTTGTTTTTAACAAGAAACGTAAACGAAATCGGAGCATAAGTTTAATGAATGAACCTCAACATAGCGATTAGTGAAGACGAATATGAAGGTTGTAGTATATCTGAAGAGTGACATGGATGTTAGGGTTATTTTTCGAGAGAGAAGAGTGAAGTATGTTAGGTTTTTTTTTAGAGAAGCGATTGTTATGCACTGAACGACAAATACTTTTGTTTATATATTAAAAAAATATCACTTTTCGTCACGATTGACAAGAAGAATTGTGGTACAATGCATGGACTTTACACCACAGTTGAATAAAATAATTGTGGTGGTATAAAAGGACATTCTCATTTTGTGACGATAAAGTTGAAAATTGAAGAAGCTGAGACTCGAACCCTGTAACTCATGTTATATTTCAGTACGGAGTTTAACAATGACCGTAGTGGAATATCGTTTAGTAAAAAAAACACTCAAAAACGTGATTCCACCACGGTTAACGAAAGACTGTTGTAATATTGTTTGACGAAAGATGTTTTCTGTAATAGTGTTTATTCTATGATATTCATGTTTATTAATTTTTGAATCAAATAATGGCAATGCTAATCGAATTAAAATGACGTTGCATTAAAAAAACTACAGACTTAGGACAAAGTTTATGCAAAAGAAACATGTAGGCAATACTTTGGAGATGCATCTTCAAATTTACTCCAGAAATATTCACAGATGCATATTCGAACTATTTTTTAGAAATGGGGTGGCTGCTTGATTTATGAAGGAAGAAAGGTGATTTTCAGTGATGTATCTGCAAATTTATCTCAGAAAAGTTCGCAGTTTCATTTTCGAACTAAATATTGGTAAAAAAATAGTATTTAGTACGTTTGGAGATGTATCTCCAAATATATCCAAGTGGACTTTGGGGTTTTCAAAAGTGTGTTTCACTACATAAGGGTGAAAAAAGAAATTGCATTTTTTTTAAAATTTCTCATTCCATCCTATAGGTTAGAAAAATACCCTATGAAAATCTAAAAATATCCTTTTGTTGGAAATCCACCAATACTCAATGACGAATTTCGACCACCACTTGATGATTAGTTATGAGACAAAACAAAGAAAAGACAATAGAGATATTTCTGCAGAATTTCTCTTCTGCCCACAAACTGTGGAATCTTTATTATTCACTTTGCAACTGCAAAATACTGTGAATGACTTGATTACAAAATAGGAGTTACTCCCTCTATTTATAGATTTAGGTTAGCTTGCTCCCTAAGCTAAAACTCAAGCCCAAAATATCTTTTTACTAAATCAAATCAAATCAAATCTATTCTAGACTTAAATTCAAATCTATTTAAATCTAAAACAAAATCAAATCTAATTTTGACACATATGAATTACAATTTAACACACCACCTAATTCATTGTGTCTAAACTGTCTATGTTCATCATGACCCTTAGCTTTCTGAATACTTCGACTTGTACTCCCTTCGTCATGATGTCTGCAATCTGATTCTCAGTTCATCAGTGTTCCAAATTCATCTTCCCATCTGCTACCTGCTCTCGAAGATAATGGAATCTCATTTCGATGTGCTTACTTAGACCATGTGCTATTGAGTTCTTTGCCAGATTAATAGCTGACATGCTGTCTATCTTCATGGTAATTGCTCCATGATTTTTCCATGTTATCTCTTCGACCAAGCTCATCATTCAAGTTGCTTGACATGCACAAAGAGAAGCAGCTATGTATTCTGCTTCACATGATGATAATGTCACTACTGGTTCCTTTCTTGAATTCCAAGCAATTGGTGCACCACCTAGCATAAACACATATCTTGCTGTTGACTTTCGATCTTCAGCATCACTACACCAACTCGAATCAGTGTATCCCACTAACTTGCATTCTTTTCTTTTATCAACTGCAGGAAACAAAATGCCATAATCGAAAGTTCCTTTGAGATACCTTAGTATCCTCTTCACTGCTGCTAGATGTGATACCTTTGGATTCTGCATAAATCTACTTACCATACCTACACTGTATGCTAAGTCAGGCCTTGTATGACAAAGGTATCTCAATGATCCAATAAGTCTTCTATATTGGGTTGGATCAACATCATCTTCATCTGCATCTTTCGACAGCTGCAGTCTTGGTTCTGCAGGTGTCGAAGTTGAGTTGCATTCTTCCATCTCAAACCTCTTGAGAATATCTCCTGCATATCTTCTTTGATGCATCATCAAACCTCTACTACTCTTGTATAATTCGATACCAAGGAAATATGAAATCTCACCCAAATCAGACATTTCAAATTCCTTGCTGAGATCACCTTTGAAGTCTTCGATCTCACTCTTGCAGCTACCTGTTATCAACAAATCATCTACATAGAGACATAGTATAAGCAATTTACTCTTGCTTCTTCTTACATATACTCCATGTTCAGTTATGCACTTCACAAATTCCTTCTCCCTTAGAAAACTATCAATTTTCTTATTCTAAGCCCTTGGAGCTTGTTTCAATCCATACAGGGCTTTATGTAGCCTGTACACCTTTCTTTCTTCGTCATGTTTCACAAACCCAACAGGTTGTTTAACATATACTTCTTCATCTAAGGATCCATTTAGGAATGCACACATCACGTCCATCTGACATATGTGCCAACTGTTGATTTCTGCTAGACCAACAACCAGCCTGATTGTTTCGATCCTAGCAACAGGTGCAAAGACTTCGTCGAAGTCTATTCCTTCTTTCTGTAGAAATCCTTTCGCCACAAGTCTTGCTTTGTGTCTAGTTACTTCACCTTTCGAATTCGTCTTCACTTTGTATACCCACTTGACATCAATTGCCTTCTTGCCTTGAGGCAATTCGACAAGTGACCAAGTGTTGTTGTCTTCGATAGACTTTACTTCTTCGTTCATTGCTTTCACCCACTTCAAATCCTTTAATGCTTCAGCTGCATTAACAGGTTCGACATCTTCATAGAAAGCATAATGTACCAGCTCACCTTCATCATCTATTACATCGTCTGATGTAATCACACAATCTTGCAATCTTGCAGGCATGCGTCTTGTTCTTTGAGGTCTGCTTGTACTTGGTATATCTGCTGGTTCCTCTTGTCGAACTTCTCTTTCGACTTGAGTTTTTGGCTCTTCGAATAGGATTCCCACTGAATCTTTCTTGACATTTGCAGTCCAATCCCATTCTTTAAACTCATCTATGATCACATCCCTGTTGATCAGAATCTTCTTGTTCTCTGGATCGAACAACTTGTAGCCTCCTGTCGAATGATATCCAACTAGGATCATTTGACTTGACTTGTCATCAAGTTTTCTTCTCAACTGATCTGACACATGTCTATGTGCAATAGATCCAAATACCTTCAGATGACTCAAGCTAGGCTTCACACCAGACCAACATTCTTCTGGAGTAATTCCTTCTAGCTTCTTTGTAGGACATCTGTTCAAAATATAAGTTGCAGTCGAAACAGCTTCACCCCAGAACTCTTTAGGTAAATTCTTGTCTTTCAACATACTTCTCACCATATTCATGATGGTTCGATTTTTCCTCTCTGCAATTCCATTTTGCTGTGGAGTATAGGGTGGCACCACCTCATGCACAATCCCTTCCTTTTCACATAATCTGTCGAAGTCTTTCGACACATATTCTCCACCACCATCAGTTCTCAAAACTTTGAGCTTTCGACCACTTTGTCTTTCGACCATGGACTTAAACTTGGTAAATACTTCGATCACTTCACTTTTCTTGTTGATCAGGTAAGTCCATAGCTTTCGACTGAAATCATCTATGAATGTAACAAAGTATTTGTTACCTCCCATCGAATCCACCTGGATTGGTCCACATACATCAGAGTATATGACTTCGAGACTAGCCTTCGATCTGCTTCCTGCATCCTTGCTGAAGCTATTCTTGTGTTGCTTCGCCTGCACACATTCTTCACATACTTCGTTTGGAATGTTAATTTCAGGCAATCCTGAAACCATATTTCTTCTCTTCAAATCTCTGATGTCTCTGAAGTTGAGATGACCTAGTCTATAATGCCATATCCATTCATCTCTGCTAGCTGCAGTTGAAAGGCACTTGTGCTCCATCACATTTAGTTCAATCTTGAAGGTTCGATTCTGAGACATAGGAGCCTTCAAGATTAATCTCCCATTTGCATCAACGACTCTCATAAACTTATCTTCGATTGACACTTTATAATTCTTTTTGACCAACTGCCCTATACTGAGCAAATTGCTCTTCATGCCTGGTATGTACAATACATTCGAAATTACTGACTTCTTGCCATCTTTCCTCATGATCATAACATCACCAATACCTTCAGCTGCTAGGGTGTTGTCATTTGAAAATTTTACCATATTTTTCGTTGAGGGTTTTATATTGACGAACCAGTCTTTCCTCCCAGACATATGTGATGAACATCCTGAATCCAAGTACCATTGGTCCTTGAATCTGTCTTCATCTCTTG